AGAAAATTGACAAAAATCCAATTGTTTTTACCCTTGTAAAAAGCGGCAAACAAATAAGTGGGCAATTCTGCACTTTACCATGAATTGTTTCAAAGAAAAGGCATCATTCATTATAGAAAATTAGGTTTGAACAACTAACGAAAAGAAACTATGCTTTAGCAATAACTCGGTAGCGAAATAGTGATGCAGACATTCATTCAGTTATGTTTAGCAATTTTTATATAAATTATAATAATCATCTGAAATAGTTATTTACTCTTATGCTTCCATTCAGTCATGTTTAGCCTTTTTTATATAAATTATAATAATAGAAAAGTATTATATGAAATTAACTTTCCATCTAAATTAAAACATCAATCTTGGGTAGTTATTTACTATTATACTTCCTTTCTTGCGTTAGGGTTGCCGCAATTATTTTTGGCAGCACTGGTATCAACAATAGTTTGGCGATTTTTTACGACCCTCAGCCAATTTTTGTTAAATGAGAAAGACATAAACTACTCCAGCAGCGCTTATCCTGTACCACCAAGTGACCCAATTCGTATATCGGGTGCAAAAAATCTAAATCACATTATTTAGAGCTTTTAAGCCTAATAACACTAATAATTTCTATATTAAAGATGTTTTTTATATAATCTACAACATGAGAGAAAATTACTACTTAAAACAAACTTTCTAAGAAGATTAATGTAAAAACTTTTGTTTATATATACAGTCAAAAATCGTTAATTCGGACACCCATAATCCGGACCTCAAAGCTACAAACTTTCTGTTCATGCGTCGCGTTGTTGCTGTATGATTTATTCATTGTTTACATATCATGAATGTGAATACTTTAATTGATAGTTTTTAATCATAGTAATTTTATTTATTTTAAATAAAATTAGTTTTATTTTGTTTAAAATAACTGAAAACTTATTGTTTAAGACCATTTTGTATTATTATTTTCAAATTAGCAAAGCTTGTTATGTAATTTTCCTTTTTAATAACATATAATTCTCTTGTTATGATCAAAGAAATCTGTGATAAAATTTATGCTAAAAATATGTCATAAAAATTTTATTTTCAGTACTATGTATAATTTTTCAGCTCCCCCCCCCAGCTACTTGATTCTGATTTTAATTCCTGTTTGCATCTAGATACAGTCAAAAGTTGTTAATTCGGACACCCATAATCCAGAATGATCTATAATCCGGACCTCAAAGCTACAAACTTTCTGCACATGCGTCGCGTTGACGCATGCGCATAAGACCTTTACGGCTGCAAATATGCATGTGCGCATAGTACGTTTACGCATACGCATTTAATGTATAACGCACGGTATAAGATAAGCTAAAATTTTCTAAGTCAGTTAATGTTGCAGATTGCGTTGTTCCTTAATCTTTGAATTGGATCCGGCTTATTATTTTTTGCAGACTGTTAGAGCAATTTTATAAAAGTAAGCTTGAACTTTCGATTATGTCAAATAGAATTTCCGATATATATTTACTAATACGTAAAGGATCTACAAAGCGAAAGTATGTTTCGAAGTCCATTAAACAAAAAGTGGGATTGCTGCAAAAAATGGATAAAGGCATATCCTTTGTTTCTCTAGCCATCCTGAAATCTGTTTATCAATTTCACCCTGCTCTGCAGCTGGGTCTCTCGGCGCGCAATGAATTGGAAGTTGATCTGTCAGCACTATCCTTATCTTCAGGCCAGATGTTTTTATTTTATTTGGCTTATAATTCTTTACTAAATGTAGTATTTCATCTCGATGTATTCCGTCATTGATATGATTTAAATCAAATTCCTCGTCATTATAATTCGCTTCCGATAGTGAAGAAAGTGACACAGAGGTTATTGAAAACAAAAAAATTTCGATTGGCAAATTAGTCGGTATTCTCGACACAGCAATTATAGGACTTGAACAGCGTAACTTTGTAACTGAATAAGAAATTATGTCTGTTTATAAAATTAAAGAGAAAGTATTATCACATAATCTGGACCTCAAAGCCACAAACTTCACGCATGCGCTCGTTGAAAGAAATGTTTAATAAAGTTAACAAATAAATATTAAACTTTTTTTTTTTTGTAAAATTTGGTACCCTTTAAATCATAATTGCTCTTTATTTCAAAAATTACGGTTTCATGTTTTTAATTGTATAATTTCTGCATGCCATCTTACCAGATTTAAATTGATGATCTATAATCCGGAAAAACACCTAATCCGGAATCGCCGAAGTCCCAATGAGTCCGGATTATGTACTGTATACCCAACTTTTAATTCACAAAATCCTCTATCTAAAATCAGTGAAATATGTTTGACGTACAAAAAAAAACACTACAATAACGTTTATTTACTATTTTATACTTATTAGCATTTCAAAGTCCAATTATCATTTATTGCATTTTTAATAATTATATTTGAATATAAATTTGATTATGAGGGGTTAAAAAACTGCTTTTATGATACAGGGTGTCTTTCAGCAGCTGAAGGGTAAAACTGTTGCATACTAATAGTTCGTCTCCGAGTGAAGCCCCGGCTAACAGACTTCCCTCTTCTTAAGCAAATAGCCCAGGAGGGCTTTTGATATTCTGAATAATCCTATTTATACATGGACATAATTCAAAAAAAGGCATTTGGTTAGAATAAACAAATAACCTCCATAAATTTAAAAAAAAAAAATATATGTATTCATATTAAAAGTACAATTAATTAGAAATTAATTCCTGTTTGTTATGACCAGACTCCCATATATTTAAATATTAAGTAGATAATTAAAAAACAATTATTCTAATTAGAAATTATCTGAAAATACGAGCAATAAATTAGAGAAAGGACATACTTTATTATGATTATAAGTGTAATTAATTTATTCAGAAATTAATTATATGTAAATACACTTGGGATAATGTTGAGCCATAAAGTACAGAAAAGGAGCATATTTTGTAATTTTCATGTATAAAAATAAAGTTACTTTATTCTTATTACAAGTGTAATTAATTTATTTAGAAAATAATTAAACAGCGAATTCAAAACATGTATTGACAAAGTCATGTGATCATCAGCACAAAGATTTATCTACAAAGTCACGACACCCAACCCAAACCAAAGAATATGTATTGTTAAAAAGGAAAACTTAGCAGCAGCAAGAGTGGCTCCCTTCGAACGAAAAGGGAAACAGCGCATGCGTAAAATATCTGTCGCCAAAGAGCGCCAAAGCTTGAAGTTGATGTCGAAGTTCGAACAGGTTTGACAGTCACATTTATCAGTGTAAAGTAAGAGTGTAAAGCTGTGCGACTCCATTTTTTTCCCTCCATATTGACAGATATAAAATCAGCATCAAACTGCAATATGGATAATGCAAGTTCAACAGCCAGTGAAAGTGAAATTTCACCTAATTTTCTTATTCATCTTAACCCATGTTTCTCAATTTGCTGCACATATGACGAAGGAGGAAAATCTCGGCCAGGTCCAGTACATCACAGAGGGGGAAATTCTTGCCAACAGGCTCCGTGGCCAAATCTGTTGCCGAATTTTCCCTCTTCTTTCTAGCAATGTAGAAGACAAACTGGTTTACATTACAAGTCTATGGAACCTTTCCTTCTTTACATAGACGTTCTTTCCCCAAACTATCAACCATATAGAAGGAAAATATCCCTTTCCTTTTCTCTAGCTTAGTTAACATCTGGGCTAGCAACCTAAACACTCTTCCAACTGTTTCATGCCTGTTGCCCAAGTTGGCAAACGCAATTTCAGGAACCTCACCAAGTGCCGGTTATCTGAGTATCCCCGGGGGAAGAATTAAGTTATTCAAAATTTGGTGGCTATAGGTACCATAGTTTTATCACAATACAAGAAACATAGGTATGAATGCATGCAGATTCTTCATTATTTGATTTCTTTAAATATGATACAGGGAAATGATATTTGGTGGCAACAGTTTGAAAAGTGATACGGTCATTTATAGTAAATGGACGCAAAATGCCAAAACGAAATTAATAGCCTTTCTAAGTTAATGCTCCTTTGGGCTAAAAGTATGCTACTTAAACCAGTGCCTCATCTACAACCTACCTTAAACAGCATTTCAAGAGGAACATTTCCACAAATTTTCATTTTCAGGATATATGATTGGTTGACACGAATATCAGTTTCTTTCAGGAAAAGCTGTGAGGGAACACAGCTTTAAATGAAACATTTTCATCTCAATTATAAAATATCCTAAATAGTCCATGTATTGATTCTAGTGAAGTATGTTTCAGGTAGGAAACTTCCAGTGGTAAGAGAATGGAGAAGCTTGTTTCTGGGAAAAGTTTCTCCTGGCCTCATATGTCATTAGATGTGATAACCTCATTAGAGGATCAATCTAATCACTTATTGCTTCATAAAATTGTTATGCACGTGTCATGCTGTCCTCAAAATGTTTATATTTCTCAAATTATCTCAATGTGATGTGGTGTCTGAAATTTTTTTTTAATTGACAAATGTAATTTTTAATGTTTTTATGAGCAACTTTTTTTAAATGCAAATTATAAGGAATATTGTAAGATAAAGTGAAAACCTGTTTATTAGTGTATAATTCATTTTCATCTAAATTGGAAAAAATGGGAATGTAGAATTTATTATTTTCTTTATTAGATTGTTAGTAAATTTTCTTCATTTTTTGATAACATAGGATACATATACTTTTATGTAATATTAAGAGAATAAATACAGTTGTATGATATAAGCATTGTCTATTTCTGGGCATTAAATTTTTTTTTTTTTGGTTTACCAGTTTATTAATTAGTTAATATACTAATGTAGAGAATTCATATTTATCGCTTAAAATATTTTTTGAATGTGGATATAGGGGTAGAATAATGAAAGTGTGTTTTTGTGTTGTTGGGATTTGTAGTGAGGGAGGTCAGTGTATTAAAAAAAATATTTATTCTTTACATAATTTTAATTAAAATTTTAGATTCTCTAATGTTTTGCTAGCTTAAAATTGAAAATAATAAACATTGAATTTTTATAGGAACTGAACCCCAAAACTACAGGGATGAAGAGTTTGATTTCTTACTACTTGGAGAATTGCTGCGTTTACCTATATTGGAGCATTTAGTAGTTAAAAATTGCTCAACGGTGTGTTCTCGCTCTTACTTATACATTAGTATTTTATTTATTTATTTTTAATACTTTAATGTTAACTAGGCATAGGCTGTAGATCACCAGAATGATTTGTAAGAATACAAATACCAATGTTGTCAACAAATGAAAAGTCTTTATTATTTGGTATTTTCGGATCATTCTCATCCCTGGTTTGGTAAAATTGCCATGCTTTTGGCATATTTTCAAGTATGCACTGCATCAATAACTAACATGCATATATGTGTGTACCATGCATATGTTTAAGTACACTCAGATATACATGCTTTATAATTAGTCACCATTTCGCTGAACAATATCTGCTGACTATAAATATCACTAAAAAATATCTGCCGACTATCAGCTGCATAAATTTTAGTTTTTCTCACAAAGTTCTTAAATAGTGATACAGTACGAAGTCCATAATCCGGACGTCTATTATCCAGAATGATCTATAATCTTGACATCAAAGCCACAAACTTACGTAGGCGCGCGTCCGCATGTTTGCCAGTAAAGCGTTTACACATGCGTGCTTCTGATAGTGGAGAAAGTGGCAGAAAGGTTATTGAAAACGAAAAAATTTCAATTGACAAGTTAGTCAGTATTCTCGACACAGTAATTAACAGGATTTGAACAGTTTAACTTTGTAACTGAACAAGAAATTATGTCTGTTTATAGAAGAGAGAATAGATCATAATTGCTCTTTATTTCATAAATTACAGTTTCAATTTTTTAATTGTATAATTTCTGCATGCCATCTCACAAAATTTAAATTGATGTTCTCTAATCCGGAATCGCCGAAGTCCTGACGAGTCCGGATTACGGACTTTGTACTGTACCAAATGCTTCTTTTTATTGCTATTCATAAACAGAACAGGCAGTAAATGCCAGACGGATAACCAAACAAACATTTTTTGCTTATTGACAAACTTGCTGAGGAGATACCGACCTTTTGTAGGGATGCATATAATCAGAAAATACTATTATTTGTATTGAAAGAGAAATGAATTATTGAAATTGATTAAATTTGGTATAATTTATGAACACATACTGCTTTTTTGAACATCTTTGCAAATTTAAAAATCTTTAGATTTGAAATTTTTTTGTAAAAAAAAAAAAAAAAAAAAAAAAAAAAAAACTTCGTTATTAATCCTCATTTTCAGTTTGTAACATTTGTTTTTAATAAGTATCATGAAATAATTTTGCACATAGCTAACCTTTTTGTATAACAAACTAATATACAACTGTCATACATTTATAGGAAGAAGTTCTTGAAATTGAGTACTTTGTGAAATATCCATCACCTTCTCCGGAGAATAGTTTAATCCATGATGACTGGGTTAGCAGTGTTAATACCATGGGAAAGTGGTAAGACTTTTACATGAAAATATTATATCTGAGAGCTGAAAGAAAAGAAAATTGATATTGAAATAAGTAGTCTTTATTGTCACATAATTCATATTTTTCAACTTATTGCTATAGGATATTATCTGGCTGTTATGATAATACTGTTCATATATGGACTGTTGAAGGAGACCACAAGCTGACTATTCCTGGACATTCCGCACCTGTTAAATCAGTTGCTTGGCTTAAGAATGGTAAATAAGTTTTTCTTAGTTGTTTTATGAAAATGTACAATGTAAATCATACAGTGTAATGTCATACACTGTAAGCATTTATTTATAGAAAAATGCATCAGTTATTCAAATCATTATCCCTGTCTGATGCAATTTTAGTTAGGTATGGTGCAGTCATTCAGAGACAGCAGCTCGCATTTCAGCTTATGAAAAAAACTGATAGCTTTTAAATCTCTTCTTTAGTTTTCTGCAAGCATGAAAATTATAGATTTGTAAAAGGGATACTGAAGCCCTTTTTAACAAAACTGCTGTGTCATGCTATGTCGCAGTTTAGAGTGTCTTGACATGATACGAGTCCCATTCATTAGTTTCCTAATGTAGGTAGGTATTGCAGTAGTTTGGTAATTTAATTTCATTATTACATTTCATAAATCCAGGAAGAAATTCCTAATGATTAAAAAAGGATACCTTTGCTTTATCTGTCCAGAGCTCCTACAAAATCACCAATCATTTACAGCTATTTTTTGCCAACCTAGAACGTGAAAAACAGCAGGCATTTAAAAAATAAATAAAATTACATAAACTGAAAATTGTATAAAATTGCAATGGATTAATGAAATTAAAAATGCAAGAATATCCATAATGAAACACTCAGAATTTCATAAAACGGTAACAAATTAACTAAATTAAAAGTGCCGCAAACATGTACAGTAAAACACTCAACTTTCTATTTTCTTAGTTTGTGTGCACAGCCACCTGTTTTAACTTTAAAAAACAGTCAGAGAATTGCAGAATTCTCAGCAGTGCAAAGTGACCTGATGCTGCTGTCCATATGTACATCAGTCTGTTTTAAGACAAAAAGAGAATTCCTTTTATTCAGAAAAGCCATCATAGTTCATCCAGCCATCAAATTTCATATTAGGCATACTTCTCACTGATAATTGCGTCAATCAGTAGTTATATTTGGAGACATATCGGGATAATAAGAACTGTAAGAATGTTACGTACCGAATGTATATTTGTTTAACCAGCAGTAAATAATGCAATAAATTATATTTTTGCTTTCATCTATTTCCACTGTCTTCCCAATACTGCCTATTTTTTTCTGATAACAACATTATTTATTCTAAAATAGTTTCATTAATAAACTGCCTCCTGTCTGCTAGTGTACTCAAAGCCAAAAAATACTCTTCCTGAATAGTTACAGTTTTTATCCCTCTAACCATTTCATTTGTTAAGAATAATATTTCGTCCATCCTATTAAAAAACCATGACCCATGCGGAATTGACTTTTGTGTTGAGAACGAAAAGCTAAAATTCAATTCATGGGCTTGCATATACAGTACAAAGTCTGATATCTGGATATCCGTTATACGGAATGATCTATAATCCAGACCTCAAAACCACAGACTTTTTTTTTTTTGGTATGCTTTACGAATGCACATTTGATTTTTCCTTCCTTAATAAAACGTGTGGAGGTTTTCACTTAAAAATTATAATTCTTAATTTCACTTATGCACTAAATAAAATACCTCATTATGGAAAAACAATCATGTAAGCATAAATTTGTGAGATTAATAATTTAGCTCTGTAGCTGCGTATCTGCTTGGTATACAACTCAAACTGAAACATTCACCTATTTTATGTCCCTGACGCCGACCTGGCCAGTCATTATTTATTATATTTTGCTTTCATCACTGCATGTTTATCAATACATGACAGCTTCAGTAATAACTCATGCAGGAATGTCTAAATGTTTTTTTATTAGGGATTGAATAACAAGAGTATTGCAACCTTTTATGCTAACATTAGGCTTTGCGATGATTATTGACTTCTAAATGCTCTAAGAATGTTGACGAGGAAAAATTCAACAAAATTTTCTTTTCATGTGCTAAAAATAGATTTTGTTAATGAAACTCATAAGCCAAAAGATTGTATTTAGTGCTATTTTAATTAAGAATAACTGATATGTTATTCACCATAAACCCAGAAGTGGCAGCAGAATATGTCGGCACCGGACGGTAGAATTTAGGGAAGATGAAGTTTTTGGAATTTGGGGAAGCACCGAGTAGTAAAATTAAGGGATTAGAAGTTTTTTATGATTTAGGGAAAGCACTGGGATCCAAAGTTTAGGCATGGTGAAAATTTAGAACTTGGGAAGGTGCTTTGTAGCAGAATTTAGGACCCATAGAGAGTGCAAGAGTGGTATCTAGCGCCGGTCCTAGATAAAGCTTTTAGTATATGTGAGAGTTTATTTATTCAGGACTCAGATTAGTTTTAAGCATGTGCAAGAAATAAATGTAGGTATAGTAAATAACTAATACAATTCAGGCTTAATTCGTTACGCAATAGGAGCGAGACAAAATTTAGCGTAATAGCTTGGGTTTCGTCGCCAGTCTTGTGATACACAGCCAATAATGTATAATGGATGCTGTTAGGCTAGGCTAAAATTATCTTGACTGATTCTAAGGCATTTCAGTTAATGTAGCAGACTGCGCTGCTCCCTAATCATTTAATTTGATTCAGGTTATTATTTTTTGCAGACTGTTACTATTACGGCAGTTTCATAAAAACTAAGCTTGAATTTTGGATTGTGTCGAAAAGAGTTTCCAATTCTGGAGCTGTCAAAGGATATACAAAGTGGAATCATGTTTCGATGTCTATTAAACAAAAAGTGGAATTGCTGCAAAAAATGGATAAAAGCATATATATCTGTGTCAAAATTATGGAGGAGTATGGCATTGGAAAGTCAACTGTATATGACATGAGAAAAAATAAAAAGGAACTTTTTGAATTTTTTGTGGAAGCAACTTAAACAACTTACATTGAAAGAAATGTTTAATAAAATAAACAAATATTAAGTTTTTTTTTTTTTTTTTTTAATTTTGATATTCTTTGTATTTTGTAAATTTTGATCATAACTGTTCTTTATTTCATAAATTACGATTTCATATTTTTACTTGTATAATTTCTGCATGCTTGTATAAATTCTGTATAATCTTACCAGATTTAAATTGATGATCCAGAAAAATCCCAAATCTGGAATGGCCAAAGTCCCGAGGAGTCTGTATTTCGGACTTTGTACTGTACTAGATTCATGATGTTTTGCAAAGTCCAGGAAGACAAAAGCCATTCTGAAAAACATGGAAGCACATGAAACACAAACAAGGACAGACTCAACAGCCAAGCATTCTTTCACATTGCAGACTAAAGACTAACCTCTAATTCTGATGTATTCTAGGAGTGGGTATCATTGTATCTAACTTCAGCTTACTTCAGTTTGCAACATTTTGAGTTCCACATTCCTTGCCTGCCATTATTTCCTACAAACCTACATAAAACCATCTGACTTTTTTAACCTTAAATTTCATTTCAGAATCACACTTCTCACATATGAATTTTCTCTTTATGAGTCCTGTTTTCTTTAAAAAATCTCAAAACAGCCGCTGTATCTCACATAGATGTAAAATAAACAAGCTATATACTGCCTCACATTTTCTAAAGTCATCCTCCCATTCGAACGTTGAAATTTTAAATTTCCATATAACACTTGCTGAAACTTAAAACAGAGACATGGTAACATACAATATACAAAATCCAAAATAAGAATAAAGTAAAAAAAATCAATACAACTATTTTATATCCAACAGAGAAGAGTGCTCCTAATTCTGCTGTATACTGCTTCAATGAAGAAAATGGCGTCTTCAAGTTTAAAGTATGTGAGACTCCAACAGAGTTGCTGAAATGGAATATTCTAGAATTTGCTGAGTTACCAGAAACACAAGCATCTGAAAAGTGTTCCAAATACAAAAATTGCCGATACTTAAACTGTACTAAATAAAGATAGTATTGATTCTGAATTCAATGTTTGTTAAAAAATCAACCATAGAAAAATCATAGAAATATTTCTGTCTTTTTCAACTATGAATAACAACCACTGCTGTCATCTGATAAAATCAGTTTCTACTGTTAAATTTAAGCTGAAAAATTTGCTGCATACAGATCTTTGCAATTTGTATGTTATAGAATTTTTTGCTATTGTTATTTCCATAAATTTTCATACACAGTGCAAAGTCCAAAATCTGGACATCCATTATCCGGAATGATCCGGACCTCAAAACCACCAACAAAATTTTTCTCGTAGGCTTTACACATGCACATTTGATTTCCCCCTCCGCATAATAAAACATCTGGAGAGTCCCGATTCTTAATTTCACTTCGACACTAAATAAAATACCTTGTTATTAAAGAAACAATCATTTTAGCATAAATTTGTACTATCAGTAATTTGGCCCCCTTACTGTGTATTTGGTTGGCACACATCTCAAACCAAAACATTCCACATAGCTACATCCTTGATCTGACTCCAGCCTGACGAATCAGTATTATACTTTCCTTTCATTACCACATGTTTATCTAAACATCAAGTTATAAAAACAACTTGAGTGATGACTCATGTAGCGATAGCTAAACAATTTTTTTCTGTTAGTATTTGAATAATAACGGTGTGTGGAAACCTTTTATGTTGACATTACGCTAGGCAATGATTACAGATTTCAGTTGCCCTAAAAAATTTTGACAAGAAAATATTTACCAAAAATTTCTTTCCATATGCTAAAAATAGATTTTGTTGATACTCATAGACCCAAAGATTACATTTAGATCATAAATACTTCTTTATTTCATAAATCACAATTTCATATTTTTAATTTTATAATTTCTACATGCCATCTTACTAGATTTAAATTGATGAACTATTATCCAGAATCGCCGAAGTCCCGATTTCAGACTTTGTACTGTATTTCATAACTTGGTCCTTATTACTGAAAATAGTTGAAAAATTTGCTGTAGTAAAATGGTGTTTACGACACTCTCTTGTCTATAAAATATGTCCTAAGATAATATATATTATCAGTATGACAAATAATACTGAACCTTATGTAGAATGCAAAATTCTGCTAATTTTTGGGGAAGTTTAGTTTATTACATTGTATGTAAGCAAATGTGTTAGCTAAAACTTTCCACTCACTTAATTGTTTTACCAAAAATAATGCAAAAATTGGCATTATTATTTTATTAGATGACTTAAATTATTCAAATTCTATGTGTTGTAGAGCAACTCTTTCTCAGCATAAAGCTCTATGTAAGTCTGTGTCACAAGTGATGCATCTGCTCCAACTTTCAACCCGTTTTTCGAATCCTCTTTGTAAAAATTCAGATGCGTACTGTTTTATCCTCTTTTTCACAGCCACTTTCACCTCATTGGTGTCATCAAATTATTGTACTCAAAAACTGTCTTTCATCAGACCAAAAGAATAGAAATCCAAGATGTTTCTGATCATACACTGCATGGATCCATTTTAGATTTTTATTCTCCCTCTTAGTGATTTTTTAAGCTTCTGAAGTCCCTTGCTATACCACTCACTGATTCCAGAAAATTGAGGAGAATGATTTCATCCCAAAAAGCAGTCACTGTGATTTTTTTTGTGCTGATCACTGGCTCTTGAATTTAGGCCTTGAAGAAAAGGTTTGACAATATTCCATGAATTGTCTCTTCCTTTCTGGATTATAAAGGCTATAGCCATGTTTCATCCCTTTATGAAAAATGTGCAGTGTCCTTGTCAGGACACGAACTTTGGACCTTTCGTTTACTATCCAGACATGCTTTCCAACTACATCACAAAGACACATGGTAAGGAGGGAGAAAAATCTTACAAATTTATGTGTGAAAATGTGTCCTTGTGAAGGGGGAAAATTTAGCTAATTAATCGTCTTTAATGCTAATATTTGGTATTCATTTTTTACATGATTTATTATCGTGGTTATTATTTATTTATATTTCAGAGATTGGTTTTAAATGTACTATATTCGACTATTAATAATACTGGATCTTGTTGTTCTGTAAATAATAATAAAGGTAGTTAAATTGTTAATTAAATATCTAAAAGTTATTTAATTGCAAAGTGCATAATATATTGCTCAAAAGTGTGAAATTAGCAGTATTTATGTAGCTTCCACTACAATATTTTTTGTGAAATTGTCCCATTAATAACAACTCTTCAAAAAGGTTGTGTTACCAATTGCTGGAAGTTGACAAATAGTTTTACCAATTGAAATTTAAAGTAATTTTTAAGATTCTTTTTCAGCTAATAAATGTACAGTTTCATGTTTTTATATCTAATGTTTATTTTAATGAATAAAAGCCTTCAGGTGTATGCATTTAAAACTAAGAAATATATGCATATCAAGTATAAATAAGTCGTATGTGTGGCGTTCCGACAGATACTTCAACTTCTATTCATGAGATGGCGCCACGTGTAAAATCCAGTTCTTAATCGAAGCAGCAAAGCGACGTCATTACTCACTCAGACTTCTCGTAAGACAACTGTACGCGACGGTAGCATGAACTGTGTTCCGAGCTCTGCATTGATCTCTGCAATGTAATTTAAATTGTAATTTAGTACTTAATATATTCTTTTGTTATAGGAGATTGTCTACTCTTATTTTCTTTAATTATATCATGCATTAAGCACACACGACCACCAAAAGTGGTGACCTTTTGACTGAGCACGCTACTGACAATGGATTTTCAACGACCCTAAGCCACGTGCATCCAAGGCATTCTGAAGAACTGACTAAAAATAACAACGAATATGGACATTAAACGTATGCTACAACGTACCCCTTCAATTATTTCTAGAAGTATTGATATATATTGCTTGTGTTTTTTTTTTCAAAGTCGTGCATATCATCGCAAGGAGCTTCAGCAAATCATCAATGTGATCTGTTCCGTTCCGCTGACTTCGCCAGTCGTGCAATAATTCTTCGATCATTCAACTTTTGTGATAAATGTGATACAATAGTGATTTTCGCTAAATGTGCTACATCAGTAATTTTTCTGCAACGTGCTACGGCAAAATTCTTCCCTCAGTGTTCGAAAGTAGTGAATTTTTTTCCCATGTGCTACAGGAGTGATTTCCTTTTTCCTTCGAAAGTGCCTTAGCAGTGTGAAGTGGTGATTTTGCAATACAAAATGAACGCATCATTTTTTTTCTCAAATAGGGGTTTCTTTCAAATGCATTTCGGTAAAATATTATTTGTGTGTGTAATTGCTGACCCTGTCTTATTTGTGTGTGTATCGTTACGTAAATTTTTTCTGCATGGTTAAAATATTTATTGTTATCATGGTAAAATATCAATAGTGTATCCTCATGCTACAATATTTGTGCTGTTAAGTGTTTATTAATTAAAGTGAAAATTATCTATCAGTATGCCCGACGATATTCCACCAGAGCCACAAATCACACGCGTTGCGGTGAAGCCACCGCCTTTCTGGAAAAATAATCCTTCATTGTGGTTCGCTCAGATCGAAGCACAATTTTCTATCGCTCGCATTAGTGAGGATTCTACAAAATTCAACCATGTAGTTGCAGCAATTGAGTCTGATATTCTGAATTCAGTGCATGACTTAATTCTCAAACCACCTGATTGTGATAAATACTCCAAACTGAAACAGCGGCTCATTGAAATCTATTCAGAAAGTGAATCTTCAAAAATACGTACTTTACTACAAGGACTTGAACTTGGAGATCAGCGACCTTCATACTTGCTGTCACGAATGCGTGATCTGGCAGGAAGCCATTTTAGTGACGACTTGTTGAAGTCACTATGGCTTTCGCGTCTCCCTAATAACATACAAATAATTCTTGCTGCTTCCAATGAAGATCTAACCCGTTTAGCAGCAATGGCTGACAAAATTAATGAACTTGTTACTCCAGCTTATGTCAGTGCTGCTAATGCTGCACCTTCCAGTTCATCCCTCGAACAACAAGTGGCTGAATTGACCAAAAAAGTATCTGAACTCTCTACAAGTCTTCATGCTTCACGGAGATACAATCGATCAAATCAGGGCCCACGTAATAAATTTCGTGCCCGAAGCAGGAGTCGATCTCGTCACAATACTCGAACGCAGTACAAAGAACCCACAAGTGGCATATGTTTTTATCATATGAATTTTGGCTCAAGCTCGCAAGTGTGCTCCTCCATGCACTTTTGAACAAGCGGGAAACTAAATGGGCGGTCTTCTGCTGGCCAACAGAATGTCCGCCACATCGACAGAATAGTACTGGCTGATCGTTCAACTCAGTTATGTTTTTTTAGTAGATACTGGAGCTGACATATCAGTGCTCCCGAGAACTAAAACAAATGCTCACCAACTTAATAAACTTGTACTGTATGCAGCCAATGGTACCCAAATTGCAACCTACGGCACCAAACTATTGACACTTGATTTAAACTTGCGCCGGACTTTCAACTGGCCTTTTATTATTGCGGATGTAACTCAAGCAATTATTGGTGTCGACTTCTTGACACATTTCCACCTTCTAGTGGATGTCAAGAATAATTGCTTAATTGATGCTACAACTCAGCTGACATCACAGGGCCAAGCTTCTCACATATCGAACGTACCTACCAACATAAGTGTTGTATCGGGCAGCACACGGTTTCATCGGTTATTAGCAGAATTCCCTGACATTTTAAACCCATCCAAATCAGGGCAGCATACTCATCATCAGCCAGAAGTGTATCATCACATTGAAACACATGGCCCACCTGTATTTTCCAAGCCTCGTCGTCTTTCTCCAGAGATGCTAAAAGCTGCTCGCAAAGAATTTGAATTCATGCTAGCACAGGGAACCATTCGCCCATCTAAAAGTCCATGGGCCAGTCCACTTCACATGGTTAAAAAGTCTAATGGTGACTGGCGGCCTTGTGGAGATTATCGTCGACTTAATGCCGTCACAGTCCCTGACAGATATCCAGTCCCACATATCCAAGACTGTACCCATCTTTTTCATGGAACAAACATATTTTCTACCCTCGATCTTGCCAGAGCATATCATCAGATCCCAGTGCATGCTGAAGATGTGCCCAAGACCGCAGTGACTACACCATTTGGTCTCTTTGAGTACTTATATATGCCATTTGGCCTTCGCAATGCTGGCCAAACATTTCAGCGTTTCATACACCAAGTACTGTCTGGCCTCGATTTCTGCATCCCATATTTTGATGATATCCTGGTTGCATCTACAGATGCGGAAGAACATTTTCAACATCTGCGTCAGATTTTCACTCGCCTTAAAGATCATGGATTAAAACTAAATCCATCCAAATGTGTACTTGGTCAACCCTCAGTTTCCTTTCTTGGATGTCTTATCACCCAGAATGGAGTCAAACCTTTACCGGAAAGAGTCAAAGCAATTAACGACCTACCCTCAGCCCAAAACCATCTCTGAACTGAAGCGTTTTCTAGCAATGTTAAATTTCTACCGACGCTTTCTGCCAAATGCCGCAAAAACACAAGCCTGCCTACATGAGTTTCTGAAGAATAGCAAAAAAAAAAAAAACGATCAACGAGCTGTCCCTTGGACTGAATCTGCATCTGCAGCATTCGTGCAATGCAAACACGATCTGGCAAATGCAGCCACACTTTCTTATCACTCACCTAGTGATCAGCTCTCTATAATGGTAGATGCATCTGACACGGCCATAGGAGCAGTGCTTCAAGCCCATACCACTAAAGGACTTTCCCCAATGGCATTCTTCTCCAGAAAACTTACTACTGCAGAAAGGAAATACAGCACATATGACAGGGAGCTACTTGCTGTGTACTGTGCTGTTAAATACTTCCGGCACAACTTGGAAGGACACGACTTCATCATTTTCACCGATCATCGACCATTAACCTTCGCTTTTAGAAAAAACTCTGACTCATGTTCTCCTCGTCAGCTTCGACATCTGGATTTCATCGCCCAGTTTAGTACAGATATCAGATATGTCTCTGGTACTGATAATTGTGTCGCTGATGCCTTGTCTCGGGTAAACAATATCAACCTCACTACCCCAGATTTCTCTGAAATTGCAAAAGCTCAATTGCATGATGAGGAACTCAAGAACCTAATCTCAAATCCACAAACCTCCCTTCAGTTACAACCGCTGCACATTGATCCAACGCTTAAAATTTACTGTGACATAGAGAACAATAGAATACGTCCCTATATTCCTGTCAATTTTAGACGTGAAGTGTTTAATGCCTTGCACAATTTGGCACATCCTGGAATCCGTGCCACCAAAAAGCTGATCGCAGACAGATTTGTCTGGCCAGCAATGAATCAAGACATCACAGAATGGACTCGTTCATGTATTAGATGTCAACGGTGTAAAGTATCCCGTCACACTCACAGCCCCATTCAACAATTTAACCTTCCAGCAAGACGCTTTGATCATGTGCACTTAGACTTGGTTGGCCCATTGCCTCCTTCAAATGGTTACACTTACCTCCTCACTTGTATTGATCGGTACACAAGATGGCCTGAAGCCATTCCTATTGAAAATATATCCGCTGAAACTGTAGCTCGAGCATTCATCTCCCAGTGGCTTTCAAGATTTGGCATGCCTACCACCATCACTACTGACCAAGGCCGACAATTTCAATGTCACTTGTTCGCATCCCTCACCTCTCTTCTTGGCATTCGCCATATTCGCACAACACCATACCATCCATCTGGAAATGGGATGGTGGAACGCTTTCACCGATCTCTCAAACAAGGTCTGAAGTGCCACAGTAGCACACACTGGACAGAAGCCTTACCCCTAGTCTTGCTTGGTCTTCGCACAGCATTCAAAGAAGACATTGGTAGCACTTGTGCTGAAATGTTATATGGTGCAACCCTCCGTCTGCCAGGTGAATTCTTTCACCCAGAATCTACTCCAGTTATCGACCCTCCAACATTCCTTCAACGTTTACGTGAGACCATGAGCAATATCTCGCCAACCCCAGCATCTTCGCATAACCAGCCAAGCTATTTTGTACATCCTGCGCTTGAGACATCTTCGCACGTATTCGTGCGCAACGATGCAATTAAGCCAACTTTAACACCTTCATATGATGGTCCATTCAAAGTTGTCAAACGAACACCGAAACATTTCACCATCATCTGCAATGGCAAACAATCAGTGATTGGAATCGATCGTCTCAAACCAGCATTTCTAATGCAAGATCCAACAACTTCCTCCTCATCAACATCACTCCCGGAAGAAAGCTTACATCCCGTTAAAGAGCAACCTAAAACTACCAGATCTGGAAGAAAGGTTAAATTTAACCCAAAGTACTTATAACGTACCGATGGTACTTGGGGGGGGGGAGTACTGTGGCGTTCCGACAGATACTTCAACTTCTATTCATGAGATGGCGCCACGTGTAAAATCCAGTTCTTAATCGGAGCAGCAAAGCGACGTCATTACTCACTCAGACTTCTCGTCAGACAACTGTACGCGACGGTAGCATGAACTGTGTTCCGAGCTCTGCGTTGATCTCTGCAATGTAATTTAGTACTTAATATATTCTTTTGTTATAGGAGATTGTCTACTCTTATTTTCTTTAATTATATCATGCATTAAGCACACATGACCACCAAATATGTATATTTGAATATAAAGGGTGATAAACTCTTAATACAATACTTTAATATATTCAGATAGAATTATTAATATACAATTAATAAAAATATATCTTACTACATTTGTAATATATTGTCAATAGCTATATCATACTAAAAGTACTGTGTCTAGACCAATCTTCTAAATTACATTTCACTTGCATGTAGCTTGTGAGGAAATTTAAGTATTTTTCATGAACAGAAATGAAAGTAATAATAGTCTTTAGCCAAATCATTTAATGGCTTTCTGACGAGATTTCACTGATGAAAAAGTATGAGTTTCATTTACTTTCATGAAAGCATTTGTTTACAATTATAACAAAATGTTTCTTTTTTCTGCAGGAGAGTCTGTCAGTTCATTCGTGAGTGCTTCACATGATGAAACTGCCATGCTTTGGCAGTGGAACCATCATACAAACGCTGTAGAGTGTATCCATGTGTGTAAAGGACATGCTCGAAGTGTTGACTGTGTATCAGTTAGTCCAGCTACCAACAGGGTATTAATTATTTGTTTATTATTAAGCTATTATGTTGGCGTGAGTACATAAAAAACACATTTTAAAAATTCAATATATCCATAATATATTCATGTTATTAAAATTTTTGCATTTGACTTTTTAATTTGAATATAATATGAAAACATGACCATAATTGTTATTTTTTAATTTTGCATATGCTGAAATATTTTATTTTTTCACATTCACATTCAAGTGTAGTTGATACATTAAACATAATTAATATCTTAACTTCAAAAGTTGCATGCAATAGATAAACGGGATTCAAGGTTTGAATTATTACTCAAAAAAACAATATCTGTTTGAAAATGTAGTTTCTTCATCCTAGTACAGTTAACTTTGGTTTAGGAAAAGTTTTATTTATGAAACTATCATATCTAGAGTAGTAAAGCTTAATTGCTATACTGATATAAATTGCTTGTCATAACTAAAAAATAATGATAAGAATAAAATGTAACTATTAAAGAAGGATTAAAAACAACTGAATTTAGCGAAATTTTAAAAAAATTGGAGAATTATCTCCCACATTTCATAACAAATTCCTCTTTAATACGGTGTCATGTCTGACAGAATTATAAGCCTTACATCTTAATTTCATACAATTTATCAAACTGTTGAGGAATTTCAAACTTACTACTGAAAAAGTAAGTTTGAAAGAAGCTTGAAAGTGCAGTTTTTTAATTCCTAGAGGCTATGAGGAGGTATTTGACTTGTACAGTCAGATTCATGCTTGGCGAGTAAGCTGTCTAATCCATTTGAGTATCTTCTGTTTCCAAGTATTTTAACACCAGAGATGTTCGATGTGAATAAACATTGTCATCCATTAGAAAAAAATGTAGGACAATAGCAGCCCTAAACAGCCTTACATGGGGTTCCAAGACTTGTATCTGTCCATGTATCTGTGATTAATTACAAAACCTCCGTCAAAGATACACAGCTTAGTTTACCCATTTTTCAGGATTCCTCCCCAAACCATGAAATTACATCTGTGGAAATAGTGTGTTTCATGAATGAGAGAAAACATGCTGTGTGTTTTTACCTTTCCTTCAGATCAAACCACATCGATAACAACAGTTAAGATATATCTGAACTCATCAATAAATAGTGCATGTTCTCGAAGCCACTTTGAACATGATTCCTAAATGATACCTTTGGAGGATCTGCCCTTGACCAGACTTGCAATAGATAAACTCTCTGTCAATTGTCAGTCCTTTGTAATGGCCTGTTTTAACTGTTTCACTGGCTGAAAAGCTGTTCGGGCTCTTGATACAACACTTTGAGGGATATTTAGCTCTTCGGCAACTGAGTTTACCCCTCTCCAGTAGGAGAATTAATTGCCACTTTTGTCCTTCCTTTAAATAATGCTTAAGTGAGAACTAATGAAAGCTGATCACTCTCCAAAACTACATTAACTTTAAACAACACTATGTGCTTGAGTTCCAGCTTGTATGCATTAAGTAACAGTCTGTCAGTCATCTAAATTGTGTATTTCTGCACTAATCTATTCACAATTTGCATTCAGTTGCAACAAATTAATATAAGTAATTACATCATTAGACGTTAGTTGAAAATGTTAATGCGAATGTATCTTAAGTTATATTTTAATTTTGATGAGTTTTGAACATAATGATTTTTATATGAACATATGATTGATTGTTTTGTGCTTGAACATGTTGCCATATTTTATTAATTTCAAATATTTATTCTCTTAGTTTGCCACTGGTTCCTATGATCAGATGTTGAAAATATGGTCTGCAGGTATGATAAATTATATTTTTGTTTTTTCTAATTATATTATGGAAAAACATTGATATAGATCTTTTGATAATGTAAGAGTTGTCTACGTACCTCTTGTATCTGATTTTATTTTTCAACTTGTTAATTGCGAGACTGGTTTTCTCAATATTCATTCCCCCCCAAAAAAAAAAAACATTTTGCAGTTTACTGTAGCCTGTCTTTTCCGAGCAAGTCAGAAAATAAAAAAGGGCCTTTTGTTATTAAAGGTGTCTTTATACCTACCATTGGTCAAATAGATAAAACCTCTGAATGCTGCTAGATCATTGGTTTTCCACCTATTTTGCCCCATGCACTTCTTTCATCATAGCTAGAAGATTATTTGCTCCCCTCCCCCCATTTCCAAAACTTGAAAAATACGTTATTCATTAGATTTAGATTATTTTTAACATGTTTTATAAATTAAACAAAAAAAAGCATAGCGAATGTTTATAAATACCAAAACTAATAAAAGTATTATATTAAACTAGAAACTTAAGAGCTGAATGAAAGGCTGACTGCTTTTCCCCTAAAACTGTGAAATCCCCCCGACTGATGAGAACCCTGTGCTAGATCATCCCAGTTTCAGTTTCCTAGGAACTGACTGAATGGCTGCATGGAGTTGTTATGGTTTTTATGCCATATTAATGCAAAACAGTTTATATTAGAACATCTGGTTGTTATTTTGTCTATGATGAAGCCTATTCAAAAAGTGACATGAATGAAGATGACAACCCTTACAATCTGCTTAATATTGTCATCATAGAGGTCTGGTGTCATAAACAAGACCCCAATTTTTAACAATTTAATAAGGATGGCCGGACAATCAAAAATATGTGCAGTTGTCAGTTCTGGGTCCAGACAGTTATAATTTCTGTATGTTTTTGTACCCTCTCTATCAATTGTCAGTCCTTTGTAATGGCCTGTTTTAAGCCTGACATCCTACTTTCCTGTTGTGCAGTGCATTCTTAAAAAGTTATGGCAGTGTACAGTACTGTGAGAAATAAACATAAATATTTTTGTAGTTTTAATATCATGACAATAATCATATTTAGTCATTATAGGCTCAGTACTTTAGTGACGTTTATGTATATATTGTAATAAATTTTATATATATATATATATATATTTTTTTTTTTTTTTTTTTTTTTTTTTTTTTGCAAATAGATGAGGAGAGTGAAAATGCTGGTGGAGATGACGATAAAAAAAGATTTAAATCCGATAACATGAAAACAAAAGTTAAGGTAATTTAAATTTTGGATGATGTTTTAAAATTTACAAATTTTCAGCCCAACCTGTTATTATGTTGGTATACTACTCTCTAAAACCAGCTGGAGCTCTTGTATCACGTTCCTTCAAATGTGCATCTTGTATCTCTGCAATCACGTGCTGCCGCAAATATATTCCACAATCTCCTCTACAAAAGCAAATAGACTCTTCTCTAATATCTACTATACATATACATTCAACTTCCTAATTGCATCTGTCTTGATATCTGTTATTCCTGTTCAAGTATGCTTGTGGTGTGAGCAATAAACATCACTTGGACATAAGAGTACAGAGCTCAGGTGCATGGATTATGTCAAATTGGCTACTTTTGGCCATAGGCATATGTAAAAAAATTCTTAGGATATCTGAAAAATAGGTAACACAAGAGCTGGTATGTGCAAGGTGGAAATTTTTCCATGCATTCATTAGTCATGGACATGCTTCAGATTATTCTGCATATTTATACATGGATGCTTACACTGTGCTGATCTGGTTACACAATGATATGACAAACTAATTCTAAAAAACCTATTAATGAATCTTCTTTTATGAAGTGGCAGTTGCTATAATACTCAACACTGATAACCATTGAGGCATCAAAATATTTAAGTTGAATGACCAGGCCATGGAAAAACTAAAATGTCAAAAGATAGTGATGAAAAAGCCATAAAGAGGAATTATCTTTGAAAATTGTTGCAGTCCAGCATTCCAATGACTTCGGTCACATCTGGCTTGGTACCAGTACACTTGAATATGCAGTATTTAACAACACTGGACTGCCGCTGATCATATATATATTGTTAACCTAAACTTCCGGTGGCATTAGTTCGGCTCAGGTATTTTACATCTGAAAGGTTACTGTCATGTGTGGTGGGTGCTATTGGTATTTTTAATATAACAATTTTAATTTTAAGTGTAACAAAAGTAGTTTCATGACTATGTAACATTTGTGTTCAGTTTTTCAAATTAAAAGAAATATTTGTTTAAGAATCTACACATTCACAAATTAGAATCTCAGTTGCGAAGTTTTTGAAAAGAAAGCAATTTACTAATAGCCGAACTACCAAATTTTACAATTAAACAAAATTGCTTAAATAAGGGGAAAATGAAGTGTATTGTGTAATTTGAAAAAGAATTTTTAATTCTTATTAAATATTTACTCTTAAATATAATCATTAGTTAAATTTTTTTATAGGTATTTTTAGTAGTAATTATTGCGTGAATTTAAAATTTTGACAACTGTGTATTTATAATTCTATTGAAATATTTTGCATTTTTAGATTCCTCTAATGACCTTAAGTGGCCATACAGATGGAATAAGTGGTGTACAATGGATTGATACAAATGAAGTTAGTACATGTGGCTTAGACTGCACTCTTCGGATATGGGATGTGGAACTTGGGGGTCTTAAAAGTCAGTTAGTATGTTCAATATTTTCATACTCTTTCTTGTAATTCAAATTTTTATACATTTCTGTTAATCAAGATTAAGTAGATATTTTAAATATTGTTTTTAGCTGATTTCAAATGCATTTGTTTTAACACAATTCAGAAGTTTTTCCGTTTTCAGCATTAATTGGAGCATTGAATGAATTACTTGTATAGTTTATTCAGGATTTAAATTCAGCATTAATTTCCTATTTAAGAATTGTGTGAAAATTTTAGTGTGCAAGTGAAAGATAATAAAGCTCATTATCAGAGAGAGCTCCTAAAATATGTTGTATCTTTTATTTTTAGAATGGTTCTAAAGCATTTCTTGGAATAGCATATTCTCCAATATCGAGGCTCATCATTTCAGGTTCTTCCGATAGACACATACGACTGTGGGATCCCAGAGCCAAAGGTATAGCCTACTTTTTGTTGTCTTGTATTTATTGAAATTTTATATTAATTGAAATAGGTTTAAAAATTTATTTCTACATATCTTAAATTTTTAATGTGGCAATGGAGCATCTGCCTGTACTTTATTGTGAGTTAAAAAAGTCTCCAAATATAGTTTTGAAGATTTTTAATGTGATCTACACAAAGATAGTGAGGGCAGTTCACAAATATTTTATACATGCATTAAAAAATTTGAAATATATAAATATTATGATGAAATTAAATGCTTACATTCTGAAATTAAATATAAAAAGTACTGTATATGTACTTTTAGAGACACAAATTAAGCTTTAAAAGATATATGTCTAAATATGTACAATGATAAAATTAAGTGCATTTTTATATTAATTTTTACATATTTATAGATAATAAACAAAGATCTTTAGTGTCACTTTGCAAATGAAATGAAAATAATTACCAGATAAAATATTTTTCTCAAAACATTTTGACATCTTTTTGAGGATGATGCTAATGGAAATGTAGCATTTTTTCTAACCGGCATTATAAGCACCTGTTATTTGCTCATATTGCTCTAACTGGCATTATAAGCACCTGTTATTGCTTATAATTTTCATGTCATCATATGCTTCATCTATTATGTCAGTTTTACATTTGCCAGCTGCTTTTTTCACTGTGTTAAAGCTTTAATGGCCAAAAACATGTATTGGACAATTATTAGGAATAATTATTTCCTTACTCTTTGGTTACATGCAATAGTGGGATTTAGATAATTGCTTTGCTGCCTAAAAAGCAATAATTAGCCATAACCAACTAAGTAGTATAAGCAATTCATTAAACTAATTTTTTTATTATTTTAAGAAGCAGTTATCTGGAATTGATATGAATTACTGAACCCTACTACTGCTGGATATACATGTAAGCTTAAATGCCCAGAAATTGTTTAACTAACTATGTGCTTATATGATTCTTTAAAATATTTGAAACTTTTTTTAGATGGCACCCTTGTGAAATCTGTATATTCATCACATAAACTTTGGGTAACATCAGTAGCTTGGTCACCTGTTGCTGAGCACCAGTTTGTCTCAGGATCAATGGACTGTTTAACAAAACTGTGGGATATTAGAAGGTTTGTGTATTTTATTTAATACTGTATTTATTTTATATGGCAAGAAAGACTTAATAGTTTTCTGCAATGCCCTATCAAATATATTCTTTTATGATATTGTAACTAGACTTATATTTTTAAATTTTACTCGTTTATAAAACTTTTCATGGATAATTTAGCATATATTTGATATCATGTAACTTGAGAATCACTCAGTAATATATATATATTATTTATAAAAAATTTTTAACAGAGCCATGTTTCTGAATTATATCTAAATAATTGTGAATTCTCCAAACATTCCAAAATAAAAGTTGAAAGAAAGTGCAAACTAAGAATAGTTAATTAAATTAATCAAAGCACTATCAAATTGTCAATCAGTGCTGTCATATATGTATATATATGTAATGATATTTTAAAATCATTAAATTAAATTTTAATCATATTCCTTAATAATGTGTTGGTGATTCTCTTATCTATATTGCATCCCTGTTCCTATTTTATATACTGCAACCCTGCTCCTTTCTTTCTTATAAATTAAATTAACCTCTTGGCACCTGCCAAATTTCCAAACTCATAAATCTGTCATATTACATAAAGTACTTATAGAACACTTCTGATGAGAAAATAGTGTCACCTCGTGATCTCAATTAATACTGCTGATTGGATGAACACCATGATGCTCACTTATCTATAAATAGGGCTTCTCCTCAATGTACAGGAGGAATGCTTGGGAAATGGATGCTAAAATAAATGTATCACTTTATATTTGAAATTTTTTCTCATTTCTGTTGCCCCAATTGCACAACACCAATAATGTATGAGAATCTACATTACATATATATATATATAGGGAGAGAGAGAGAGAGAGCTTGATATTTATTTTTTTTAATTAATTGTAATTGCTATGTAAAGAAAATCAATAGACTTAGACTGAAAAACAAAGTAAACAGAAGCAAAACTAAGGAAAATATTTGAAAAAAAAAAAAAAAAAAAAAAAAAAAGGAGAGATTTTAAACTAAATAATAATGGTAAGCTACCTAATATAAAGATATTTAACATCATTTTCCATGTACTACGAACTTAATTCTGGAAGTAAATGCAAAAATAATATATATGTATATAGTTTATTTTTGGAAACAGCAAAGCTACTGTGGTGAAAGTGACACTCTTTGCGCATCCGTGGACAAAATGGAGAGAAACGAATTTCAAGTGTTGATCAAACATTGCTATTTAATGGTCAAAAATACTATCCAAGCTCAGCAATGGCATGAAAAATGTTATCCAGACTCCGCTCCATCAAAAACAACCATTTGCCATTGGTAGTATGCTGATTTCAAACACAGTCGCACGGAACCAAATGATGTGGCATGCTCGAGTAGGCAAAATGAAGCAATCATTCTGGAAAATGTGAAACGAGTGTTGAAAATTGTGATGAATGACCGCAAAGTGAAAGTTTGTGAGATTGCTGAGATGGTAAATATATCAAGTGGAAGTGTATGTACGATTTTACATGAAAAGTTAGGCATGAAAAAAGTGTTTTTCAAATGGTGCCACGTGTGCTCGCAATGGAACAAAAGCAACAACGAGTCCACAATTCACAGAGCTGTTAGTTACCATTTACTCACAATAAACAGGATTTCTTGCGTTGGTATGTGACAATGAACGAAACATGGATCCATTATTTCACTCCGGAGTCGAAGCGACAGTTGGCTGAGTGGCATGCAGCCAGTGAAAGCCATCCGAAGTGTCCAAAAATGTAACAGTCAGCTGGCAAAGTCATGGCATCAGTGTTTTGGGATGCACAAGATATGATTTACATCGACTAACCTTGAAAATGGAAAATCTATCAATAGTGCCTATTACAGTGAGTTTTTGGTGCATCTGAAGGACGAAATCGCAAAAAACTGACGGCACATGAAGAAGAAAAAAATGATCTTCCGTCAAGATAATGCCTCGTGCCACAAGTCAAGGCAAATACTGCTTACATTGAACAAGTTGGGCTTCACTCTGCTTCCCCACCCACCATACTCCCCAGATTTAGCCCCCAGCGACTACTGGCTGTTTGCTGATCTCAAAAAGATTCTGTAGGGATAAAGATTTGGCTTGAGTGAGGAAGTCATCGCTGCCACTGAAGCTTATTTTGTGGACAAGGACAAATGGTTTTACAAGCATGGTATCGAAAAGTTAGAAAAGCGCTGGAATTATTGCATAGCTCTTGATGGTGATTATGTTGATGAATAAATGTAAATTTTGTGAAATGGATGTTGTTTTCTTAGTTAGTCCTGGGACTTATTGAACGATGTGTTAGGTAAACAATTAGAACCCAGTTCTTCCAATAAAAAAATTCAATCAATAAAATCTTGAGTTACACACATAATTAAAGAAAAATGAAGTAACAATCCCTTATTAGATTTACTTCAAATCTAAATAAATCATCACCAGCACTTCACTTATTTCAATAAAAAGAAACTGTGAGCATATTTTGTGAAATCCATATTTATAAAACTGGATATTAAAAAAGGAATTTTAAGTTCAAAAGTTTTGCAATTTCTACATTTCTGTCTGAGATATATGTATTTATATCAAAGCCTGCATGGATTTTGTATATTGAATTATTTTAGTTTGGTAAATTTTTGATTTTCTACTGTATTATGAACTTTTAAAAAATGTTATTTATACTGAAAAATCGCGTATAATTGTAAATATAATTCATTTAATTAGTAATTAAGCTACAATAATTATTTCCTAATAAATTAGCTGACAGATTGCTTAAATGTGAATATTTTGTAAGCCAGCTTTTAGTATTTATGTGCATTTATTTTGTATTAAAGCCTTTTGTTATCGTATAATCATGTATCTTGCTTATTTGAATAAGTAGTGTTTAATTATCAAAACAAAATAGTGAAGAAATTTTTTTAACTTTTAGCCCTAAAGCTCCTTTGTTCGATATATCAGGACACGAAGACAAAATATTCGCAGTTGACTGGTCTGTGAAAGATTATATCGTCAGTGGAGGTGCTGATAATTACATCAAACTATATAAATTTAAGGTACGAAAAGTATATATTCTTGAATAGATCTGTATTCATTTTCTTTTAAATATCTTTATATCAGTTATAATGCTGAATTTAATTGTGTGTTGTTTGAGATGTTCACATATCTCAGATATCAATAGGCAGATACTGACAAGTGATTAAGCTAGTCATTCTTTAAAGATGAACATGCGAACTGCTTTCATAAAACAGCAATAATCATTTACTGTTTTTATTATTTCCACTTATGTTGATGCTGTTGTGAAAATGGGTGCCCGGTTAAAAACCTATCCCAGTAGAACAGCATTTTTTCATTTTCCAAATGTTGACGAACATAGTTCTGGAAAAGTAACGTGCAAGCCCAAGGGTAACGTGAACAAGTGAGTCGATGTTGTTGACGAGAGTTCTAAAAATAAGCACCAAGTAGGCAAGCGAGATTACTTTCGGTAGCTAGCTAAAGCTGAGTGCGTAGCTGGGTAGAGAGCTTAGGAAGAGCAGCATACCTGGCGCCATCTATTGACCATTCCAGGAGATCTTAAATCTGGGGATGAGTCGGAGAAGTCTTGGGCCAAGGAGGAGGAAGGTGATAGGTGGGCATTAATTGGTTGCTTTGTTTTCACTTGTCTATTGCACCACCTGATGGTAATTCTTCAGTTCAACAGTATATAAAATGGAAAGTGACAAGAAATCCTGGAATCATGAAACTAGTTTATCGGCCAAGACTTCTTTTCCCTCTCTGCAGCAGATTCCTTTTTCGGCAAAAAGTCTGACAGAGATAGAAAAATGGGTGGTATGTATAAAAAGGTTGCTGACCCTTGAGTATGTGTATATTTCAATTTTGTGACCAACATGTAAATGCTGTTGTTATTAATGAGTTGGTTGCAACAAAATTTGAAATTTGTTAGGCTACCTTGATTATTAAATACTGTGTCTCAGGGTTCGTAGCAGTCCTTACAAGTGCTTATAAGACCTTATATTTGAAAATAAAATATAAAGGCTCTTATAGGTGCTTACTTTTTCTTTAAAGCCCTTATTTTTTGTTTTTAGTGCTTATTTTTTGCTTTTACTGCTTTTTTTTTTTTTTTTTTTTTTATCCTTTTTTTTTTAAATGAATGCACATTTTCCCCCGTACCAAAGCCAAAACTAAATAAACAACTTTTCTTCCTTATGTGCAACATCAGATGGTGAATCATACTCCCGGAAATTGCTTTTCCCCCCTTTCTCTGCATTAACCTAACCTATGGTGCTCGCAAGAGTACAGACAGGTGCACGTCGTTCTATTGGTCAAAGAATTGCGAAAACGGTAGAAAATTCGGTATTCATTTCCTCCCATCCAAATACTACACACGTTTGAATTTCTATCAAGATTTTAATAATTTGCATTCTCATTCCGCGTGGTCAGTTCATATTCGTGTTTATTATGATCGTTATGCTTATATTATGAGTATATGCATGAATATTTATAACAATATAGTTGTAGTAACTGGTGAAGTATAGATAAACTTCCAAAAAATGGGTGTGTTTTTACACAGATTAGCTTTCTAAGGAATAATATTCGGAATGGCTTAAATAAAAAAAAAAGTAATCGAATAGTTAAAATAATTTTTTGGGGGGGCAATACATTGTACAGTATAGAGGTTGGGAGGTTCTCCCCTTTCTCTCTCTAATATTGAAGCATCGGAAATTTTTTTTTTTTGTCACTGTCCAATCCGGATTGAATAGGACTAAAAGTTTTTGCGGTCTACCCAACCTAAGTGAAGATTGATTCTATTCCGGAAATTTAACGCAGTCTGTTGAAAATTAGAATCAGAAACACCCCAGATTAGTAAGTCTCTTTTTCTTTATTTAGTTCTTTATTCTCCGAATGCCGGCAGCTGTTGATTCCGATTGCGTAATATCACATGTGGAAGATTACGCCGCACGTATTTTGCAATAACATTTGCGTTATTTTGCAGAGATAATTAATTTTGATGTTCAGTCTGAGATTTGTTTATGAACACTTAAAAGAGTTTTTACTGTGCTTTTTAAGCAGAATATTTCTCAGTTCCATTGGTCTATTTTTATGTGATGCACATATCGAAATGTCAAAATCATTTATTTAGCCGAGAAATCTAAAGAACGGCTACAATCTCCCCCACTCCTCTTTTTCCAGTTACTACCCGGAATATTCAGCAATTTCCGAGTATGCGGGTTAGTTAAGCTAAAAAGTGTTAAAGGATGACTACATGAAGCAATTTCCCGTCTTCAGATTTCCGAAATGTGCCTCTTTTTTACTTAAATTACTTTGCTTGGAATATATGTTAAGGGCAAACTGTTATGCAATGAAAATTTAGAAAATGTTCAGAATTTTGATTTAAGTTAAATTATTTAAATATTAATATGAGTGGAAAAATAAATTGTATTTATTATTAGGTGCCAAACAAATACAGTTAAAATGGCTTATTATTATTTATTTTCTATATTTTGAACTGAAATTTCATCATTAAATCTGGTAATATAGTTTTGTTCTGTATAGTTTTTTTTTTCCTCTCATTGTAACTAATTCTGTAAATTGAACTGTCATTTAAATAAAAAAAAAAAAAAAAAAAGTTAATTGTTTTCCATGGTTGAGGTAATGCTCATTCTCTTAATAAATATTGCATTGCTCATATTTTAAATTACAAGTCTAATTTTTCTTTTAAGGTTATGCAGTTGTATATAATGTAATTAGACAGGTGCTTATTTTTTCCTTAAACTGTGCTTGAAAAGTGCTTATAGGTGCTTATTTTTTTAACTAAAATGTGGGTATGAACCCTTTGTGTTAATAATAAATAGAAAGATAATGCAGTATACATTTCTGAGATTCATTTTATATCCAGGTTATATGCATTTTCATTATCATTAAGAATTCATATTTAAAATTTGCTTAAAATGTCATGGGTTTAAAATTTTTATTTATGTTTTCCGTCCAAGAATGAACACTATGTTTATCACTTGAAGAAATAGATAACATTAGCTGTATTCATATGATGAAAAGCCCGCCAGCAGCTGAGCGGTAAAGTTACTGAACACTGGCAGTTAGGTTCAAATCTCATGAGCGAGCTAACTGTATAGGCGTTTTCAAGGTTTTTCTCTTGTGTCTAACCTGTACATGAGCCAGATTTCTTTAGAAAGTCCTCCATGAAGGCATATAGCCTTCATGGCTTTTAGGCATATAGCCCTCAATGCTTTGCTGTAATCACATAATCCAAACCATATGATGTTAAAATTTCTGTTATCTGAGATTTTCTTAATCATCTTTTATAAGATCTTGTATATTGTTGCGTTTTTCTTTTCCGACGCCAGTTGTTGCATTATTTTCTTCACAGGTTCGTTCAGATTTGGAATGAATAATGACAACACTTCTTGATGAAGTGTCGAAACATACTTTATTTACCAATATTAATCATGACAGCTCCAAAACACTTTTACAATCGTCGAATCTCTACTATAAACACACTGGAACAATCAGCGACACAGCTTTCACACTGTCAGGCAATAATGGTGGAGACAGCTTTATTGCAAATCACCAGAGTACAACTCCCGACTCTGCTTGGTCGTTATCAGAACTCCACGCTATAACTTGTGATGCACTCAACGACACACAGAGCACAGCTTCCGACTCTTCGGTTCAGTTGTTTCCAGAGCTCAACACACTCTTTCGACGATACACTAAGAGACTCTTTCGATGCACTTGGCACTCGCTGGCCAGCTGTCAACTTGATCGTCTGCACAGGGATTGACTCACTAGACGAGACATCTCCGCGGACCAGCAGGATTTATATAGCTTTTGGCTGGTTTTCGAGAACATTCTGGGCTAAACTGGTAAGAATTCATTCCAGAAGGTTCTCCATCTGTCCATGGTATATTGCCAATTTTGTCGCCAAGTGAGCAATTTCTCGCCAAATGTAGCAACTTTGCCTTCCTTGCTATTTTATGGAAACCCTAAAACTGCTTTGCTGGGAAGCTGTCTTACCACGCCTGTACATTACGTAACAATATAATAATATTCCCTAGTTTACCCTCAAAATAGTTGTCAATATTTTTTTTATCAGCTGGATCAAAATAATGTTAGGTTGTCATATAAGTTTTTTTCTCAACTAAAGTACATCTTGTTGAAGCAATTAGTATTTTGTTATCAATCACATGATTAGTAGAGGTATTTGATATGAATCCTAAGAAAGATTATGCAGCAACAAAGAAATTAAAAAGTTAAGTTTTTACACAGTATGTGTGGGAATTTACTTGATTTAACTTTGTGTTATGATGAGATGGTGAAGTCGAATTATATTTAAAAGCATTTGTACTTTACTCTTAAAAAATATTAGACTAAAGTGTTATTGATTGCTAATCATTTCATCCTTCCCTTTTTAATAAGCTTTAGGAGTTTATGAAAAATTCTTAATACTTGTTCTTATCCTTCTGTATCACAGGGGACTTTGAAATCCTTGATTATGTAATTCCAGATGCTTTGTTCTACAGATTGTTTTACAGAATTTCAGTGTATAAATTCTTCCTTATTTGCTAGTAAAGACAAAAAGAAGTTTTAAAGATCTTAGAGATCCTCACATGGATGCTTCTGTGATATGAATTATTGTTTTTGTATATGTTACAGTAAATGTGATTATTCCAGTGATTATATATAATAACCGGTAATTATGCATAATCACAACTAAATTTGGTAAATATGATAATTTTTTGTTTAACTTTTAAAAATTTATCATAATTACCGGTTTGTTTGCATAATTCCTAACTTGTAATGGTAAATGTGATAAAAGTCCTTAACTTTTATTTAATGAAAATTTGTTCAGTTTGCACAACTGCTTGGCTTCTATGAACACATGACAATCACATGATATTAGTAGTAGTTCTCATTTCATTGCATCTAGACATTTTTTCACTACCCTCACGTAGTTTACAAAATATTGAATAATGGCTGGTATGCTTGAGTGTTTTAATTCCAAATTAGTTAATACACTGGTGAAATAAATTAAGAGAATTTGCATATTTAATCAAATTGCACAAAAAGAACTAAACTGAAGGGAAAACCATTACTTCTAGATAAAAATGCAAATCTTGTAGGGCAAATATGTAAGCGTACACGTGTGTGTAGGCGGAGCCAGCAGAAAAAAAGGCTTTATAAGCGCATGGAGGGTAAGACAAATTGCGTTCGCTAGCACACCTCGGCAAATTTCATAATGTTATCTTGTGGCAATAGGTTAAATTCATATCGGAACAGTAAAAATGAGTAATCACCAACGTTTAGATGATGGAATGAGGTGGCGAATTGTGGGGAGGCTAGAGGCAGGCTAATCGCAAGTCCAGATATGCAGAGGGTTTCATTTAACGCCCAACGTCGTGTAATCTATGGAAACAGTTCCAGGATACTGGATCCATTGAGGAAAGCCTGGGCAAGGTCATCCAAGAGCCATGAGGGCCGGAGAAGATCGCTATTTGTCCATTTTAGCGAAGCATAATAGAGGGGCTTCAACTTCTCAGCTCTCTCGGGGCCTGTATGCAGCCACTGGAACCTATGTAACAAGGGTGACTGTTTCCAAGAGACTGAATAAGAGAGGGTTGTTTGCCAGAAGACCGATTGTTCGCATCTATGGACAGGAGAGTCAGATTAGCAAGGTGCAGGCAGCATAGTGATTGGAGTATGGAGCAATGGGCGACCATTCTGTTAACCCACGAGTCCCATTTTAGCCCAAACACTGTTTCTCACCGTACTTTCATATGAAGAGAGCCAGGGACCCACTACATACCCTCCAAAGTCCATGAAATCAACAATTATGGCAGTTGAGGTCTTAGAGCTGTATGTTCGCCTATTCTGGGGTGCAGTGGGCCCCAAGTTCATCTTACAGGACAATAACACAAGGCTACATAGAGCTCTTCTGGTCAACGAATT